TTTAGGGAACGATTTTGTCATCCCAGCCACATAGAATTGGTCAAGGTGCTAGTTGAGTTATACAACTGTTGCGGAACCAATCCCATTTTCCAGCTGTTTATTTTATTTTATTTTTTTTTAAGATTTTATTTATTTTTCGACAGAGAGAGAGAGCGAGAGAGGGAACACAAGCAGGGGGAGCGGGAGAGGGAGAAGCAGGCTTCCCGCTGAGCGGGGAGCCCGACGCGGGGCTGGATCCCAGGACCCCGGGATCATGACCGGAGCCGAAGGCAGACGCTTAACGACTGAGCCACCCACGCGCCCCTCTTCTTGCTCCTTGACAGTGAAGGGAGGAGCCGTGGGGCCTGCGCCACCGAGGATGGTAGGGAAGCCTGTTGTGCAGGCTGCACCCAAGGTGGTGCGGACACAGAAGCGGGAGGGGGAGACAGAAGAGGCCAAGTGCTGCCAGAAGGCAGAGAAAGCGTTCCCGGTTTTAGAGCTCATCGGCTCCAACAGAGGCGCAGACGCCACGGTTCCCCCCCTCCCCCCCAGTAAGGGGGGAACAGGCGGTCTGCGCCGGGCCAGAGAAGACAGGAAATTTCCCTGAAACAAAGGGAGTTTCGGCAGCTGCTTGGGAATATTCCCTAAAGTCCCCATCCCGAGGTAGACTAACCACAGTTGGCTCCAGTTATAGCCATTAACCCGGGAAATGAGTGAGGAAGAAGCCCCTAGATCTATTAGGAGGAGGAACAGTGACACAGAGAGAGAGAGAGAGAGAGAGAGTGTCAGAGTCCCCTTTGCTAGGGAGGGCCTATGTTTCTTCCAGCAACCTGGGTTTATTCGGAGGGGGCCTATTTAGATAATTATCATCCAATATGTCAGGAGGGAGTTTACTAGCCGCCCCACTCAGGCAAACACATTCTCCAAGAGGCCCTTAGGTCGGGGTCTTGGTGTAGAGCAATGAAGGTAACCTAGGTCCATTTGCCCTGTTTCCTGCAGAAGAGATCTAACTGATAGATCCCACTGGGGCCATGCGGTGTCACAGGAGCTCAGTCCTTTCCTACGTTTTGCAATCCGAATTGTTTCCAGTGGGTTAAAAGTCACCCCAAGGGAGAGTCCTTGGGAACTGAAGAAAAGAGAAGGTCCATTACCTAGAAAATCCCCGTCCCCCCCCCTCCCTGATTCCCGGGTGGCATCCCACGCAGGATAAGTCAGAGGTTCCTGGTGTCAAAGCGACCCGAGGCGTCCCCTGAACGAAATCGCTGTGACCACCGCCACCGATAAAGGCCCCTGTAGGAGGGATGCTAGCGTCCCCCTCCCCGCCCCTCCCCACCCCCCAGCTTCCCCATTGCATCCTAGGCTACAGATAGGTGCCTGGCATGTGGAGCGAAATACCGTGCCTTGGAGGTCGTGCCGTGAAGGTCACGCCTTATTTTACCTCGCCTTGAAGGTCATGCCTTATTTTACCTTGCCTTAAAGAACTTGCTGTTTTTAACCCATGGACAACACTAGAAAAGTTTTACAAGGGGAAATTACCGAATTTTGTAGCTTAAGTACTTAGTAGAGGACTAAGTACTTAGTTGATGGAAAACAGTAAAGACAGAAATCCACCATGATCCAAGCGACATTCCAACACAGGTAGTCCTTACAGCGAACTTCCCTAGGAAACGGTCCCCGGTTGGGTTTTAATTCCATCGGGTACTGGTTTCTGCCGGCTCCCACTGGAGGTCCCACGGCCAGAAGCGGCTAGACCAGGGATGTGAAGGGGATCCCATTAGATCAATCAGGAGGAAACCTCACACGGGAGTCTTAAGATTGGCAGCCGTCCTGGTGACTTAGGTGGCTGTCCCGTGCCCAAGACAGACAACTCTGTGTAAGGACAGGAATAAGAGAGGGCATCAAGTTTCTGCGTCTTGTTACCATCCCGGCCAGGGCACTACTAACTTCCAGCCAAAAGGCAGGCTTTCTCCTCCCTGTAGAGTAGCCACGGGCTAGAGGATTGCAGCCTGAGCAATCGGCGTGAAAGTGTTCCAGGAAGACCGTGCTCCTTGACGAGCCCCGAAAATGAGAGTAAAGGAAGAGAAGAGAAAGCACTCGCCAAGTTTGCACCGAGGCTGAGTCCAGATGAGACTCTGGCCCCAGAGTCTCCCCACGTCCGGGCGCCCCATGACGTAGGAAAGAACGTTCAGTTTCGAAGCCAACGGGCAAGAAAAAATTCCTGAGACGTCTCCGGTGCAAAACGGCGGTTTCACGAAAGCACGGGGACAGGGCCCGGGGGCAGAAAGAGCTGCACTGGGGTCATGAGGAGTGGTCCATTATATACTTTCCAGCTGGGAAGGGTTAGGGATAGCCCAAGTCTCTAAGGAATTTTGGAAGCAAGGTTTCCAGGACCTTGAAGGGGCTAGCTATTGTTGGGAAAAGGTCATTTATTATCAGCTAATAAGACCTTAGTCACGAGACCCTTCAGATGTATGTAATGAAAAAAAGAGAAAACCTTGCCTCTTAAACAGAACAAAACTCATTCCATATTGCAGTTACCAGAGGGGTCCTTCGGTGGAGCCTCTTAATAACTTGCCAACACCATCCAGCCAAAGACCACCAGGAACACGCCCGTGATGAGACGAATTGGGTTATCCTAGTTGCAAAAGTGAGAGGGGACGCGCTTCGGGGCGAGGGTGTCAGGAATGGCTCATTACGTATAGGATGTGGGCTTGCGGGACAGTTTAAGCAAGCGAGGCCTTCCTTTGAATGGGGTGTGAAGGGTAGCAGCATTTGCTAACCCACCCCCCACCCCCCACCCCCCAATATGCCACTTTGGCAGAAAGATTGTTTTGAGCTGAAACAGACAGAAGGAAGAACTCCGCCCTCTTCCGATTTGCCCCAAAGCAGGACAGAAATGTGTACAGAAGTTGATCACTGACAACCCTAGATCCTTATCGGCCCAGAGACTGGCACCAGAGGACTCTACGTAACAAACTTTACTGGACGGCCCTTATCTTCTACTATTCCCCCCTATATTTAACTTCCTACAGTTTGCCACCCTAGAAACTCAAAGCCCTTTTACTTTGTCTTGTCACTTCTCTGAAAATTTATTTATTTATTTATTTATTTATTTATTTATTTATTTATTTATTTATTATTTATTTGACAGAGAGAGACACAGCGAGAGAGGGGCCCAAGTTCTAGCCACCCCATTGAGTTACTCATCCCTAAGTTTCTCCCATGTA